ATTTTAGTGTGGTCTCATATTCTACCCTGAGTAGGTCCCGTTCAAATTACCTCCTTAAGATATTGGCGGCCATATATATATATATTAACAATGAAGCCCTCGCTCTGTAAACAAAAGGATTTTTTCTTGGCCTCCAAATGACATCCACCTTGAGATTCCCTCAGATTTAATTCCTTTTATTGATAATATATATATATATATATATTAACCTCGATTTAGCAATGTTCAGTGAGGTTCGAAACCGGTTACCTAACTCGTTCTTCATTTTTTCTTTTCATTATTATCATGTGTGGTATTAAAAATTCAAATGAAATTTGTCTGCTTCAGTTATATATATATATATATATATATATATATATTAAAATACAAATGAATATTTGTATATATTATATATATATATATATATATATATATATATATATATCAGGTCATCCTAAGTTCTGTCGGAATTTTAACTATTTGTTAAAATGAACGAAATTTAAAGAGTATTTTATAATATCTAATGGAGCTGAACATTATTTTCATGTTTAGATGCATTTAAACTGATTAAATTTTATTTCAGTGAACAATAAAATAAAATTTTGTTTGATTAAAACCCTGCTAACATGGAAGTACCCAAGAATCATTTGAGGCACATAATGCTTTATAAGTTCAATAAGGAAACTCAGCAGTCGAAGTAGCTAAAAACATTCACTCAGTTTATGGAGAGGAATGTGTGAGTGAAAGAACTTGCAGAAGATGGTTTGCAAAATTCAGAGGTGGAGATTTCATTGCTGGTAATAATATTTTACAAAAAAGTATTGCTGGTATTAAAACCTATTTTTACACTTTCATAGTGCTTTGACACCAGTTTGGGGGTTAACTATTTGCCCATAGCTGGGACCCTGACAGGTGCTACCACACCGCGTCAGGGTGGACTTGGGAATACCAGAAATTAAGAGGTGCTTCCACGCTCCTCAAAACCTCTTGACAAGAGGCCTTGCAGTCGGATGTAGTTTATCGTCTTACCCAGGATGCTAGAATAATAGATATATTATATATGAGTATATGGCACAGTATATGAGGATATGTGGGGAACGCCAAAACACCACCCCACTCCCACTGAGCTGTTAAAGCTAGATCAGAGGAGAGATCAGCTACCAGGCTAGAAACAATGAAAAGAGAATAGCTGTTATGTTATATCGGTTCTCCTATATAGCAATGAATGCTGACAAATCTCCTCACAGACAAAGAAGAGAGTTGAGGCAACAGAAATGTTGTTCTACAGAAGGATGTTGAGAATACCACAGACTGGGCATACGAGTAAAAGTTCCATGGAATCTGGAAACAAAATGAATGCTTATACATAAAATCAGAGACAGTTGCAATTTCTAGGACACATATTGCTGAATTTGACTGTCACATGGCATCAGTCAGTCAGTTATGTGCGAGACACGCTTAGGCGATCAGGTATCTTTAGATACATGACTGACGAGGCAGATTTTTTCCCGCAATAGGTTGCCATTTCTTTCTGCGGTAGACCATCCAAAGCTATAGAAACCGGTATTTCCTACTATTTGCCCATAGCTGGACGAGGAAGAAGCGGATTCATGCCTTTCCCAAGGTTATTAGCACGTAAGTGAATGTAATGGATTCGACTGGAATTCGAACTCGTCTCTCCGATTCCTCAATCCGAGCCGCTATCCATTACTCCACCGTGCTTACTGGATGCAAAATGGATAGACAGAAACAGCCAGTAACTTGCCTAACAAGCTTGTTTAAAATGACGTCAGAACAGGTATTGGGGTATGTTGATATGAAAGGATATGAAAGTGTGAAGTGTCATGATCGCCCACGTCTTGAAGGGACACGGCTATTCTTGCTATATCTTTATAGTTTACTTTTAATAAAATCTTATGCGAAATTATTTTCCTTTTAAATCTCTTTAAATCGTTTACTAGTTCTTTTCCTGTTTTATTTAAGTAGAGCAGCATCAGCGATTCGCAGGCTGTTGATGGTATAATAAAATCAGAAAAAAGATATCGTATATTTATATATTTAGATGAAGAATTGGTGTTGTAATGTACGCTAAGAAAAGATATATACGAGAAACAACCAATAATTTGAGAAACTTTTTAAATAGTACTAGCAGCCATACCCAACTGGTCGATCAGAAAAAGCGTTCAATTAGAATGGAGCAAAAACAGCATCATGTTTAGATGTAACAGAGTCTATCTTCTTCAATTACTTTAAAGTACTTTCATTAAAAACATTTTGAATCAATGTAGTTACTAATATAACAGATACAGTAGTCTGTATTTACTCAATCGAAGTTAACCGAGGACATGAAAGGGTAAAACAGGCATCAAGAAGTCACACTTCAGACCACAATTATTTTGAAGTTTTTGAAGTTCAATTTGTCAGTGTGCTACCAGGGATGTAAAAGAGAAACATTTATAAATAAAATGTAAAGTTTGATGAAAAATTTAAAAAAAACAGTAAAAATCGTCATTTTTCGCTATTTACGCGGGTTTTCACTACATGGGTGGAGACAATTATCAAATTAAATGACTGTTAAACAATCGACGTTAAAGGAGATAATAAAATCTGTGGAAATTGGGAAACTTGACAAGGATCATAACAAAAAGGAACGCCGGGAACAGCAATTACTTACATTATGTAGGAGAATGAAAAGAGTCTAGTTTAACCAGTGGATAGGTCTGTTAGGAAACTGCATCGTTGTGTCGAAAGGGGACAAAAAAGTATATCAAGGCTGGCCCAGTTCACACGAACAAGGCTCGTGACTTTCATCCGCCATTCGCTGAAATCTGCCGATAACAAACCTTAATATTCCTTATCGCTGTGGGAGTGACTTCTAAAAAGCCCTCCGAAAATTTATACACAAATCTTAGAGGTGTATGCTGGGATTCTTTTCTAACCAATAAAAATGGCTAATTCTCGATGTAGTCAATACATTTTTTTCCTAATTACCTTGAAGCCAAAACGCAATAACCACTTGACTTTATCCTTTTAGCGTGTTAACATTATTCCAATTTTGTAAACTGTTTGCTTTATTAATGTTTTACATTTGTTTTATTTCTCACTTGAATTATAAATATATTTTTGTTTCGTATCATTTGTTTTTATTCCTTTTCTTCTTAAGATTTATGGAGAATATTTTAAGTTCCGTTTGTTGAGGATTTTTCAGTTTCGTTTAATCATGGCCAATTATTCTATAACATCTTCCTCTCTGCGTGCTATGACCATTAAGGGTGTGAACGATCATGGTTCTCCACAGCTTCCAGTCTTTTACTACTTACATCACAACTTGCTCCTTTATAATCAGTCTTTCCGATCAAAATACTTATTTGTTACATTTTCATTCCTCCTCGTTGCTTACACAGAATCAGAAAGAGTTGGAATTTATAAGAGACATGATGAGGAAAATAGAAACTTTGAAAAACACAAGCCATATTAAAGACAAGGGGTAAACAGTGAGTGCCCTCCTTAACTAACTTGTGTAAATGGATGGCAGAATAGGAAACAAGACGGATAGTAAAGAGGCAAACGATACTTTGAGTAAGAAACGATAGGAAGTTGTGAAGGGTCTACACCATGAAGGGATACGGTAACTAGAAGAAGAAGAATATGCTTATATATATATATATATATATATATATATATATATATGCTCCTGAAAAATTTATTTCGGTTGAGCTCTCTGGGGAGGAAAAGTGGGTTTGTAAACAGTAACTATTACTGCTAATAATGCATGACTCTTCGGTAAATCGAACCGAGTTCTCTCAGTCGCTGTATGTTTATCTAAAAATAAACACGCTTGAATTCACCGTCTGCCCTTGGCGCAGGGCTTAGTGGTAGAATCCTCGACTGACGCCAATTCAGTCGGGTTTCGATCCTAGCTAGAGGCAACCGGACATCTAGCCACACTGATGAGCTGTGATACAGCGAAACAGTCTGTCTGTGGGTGACAATATATATGCTCCTGAAAAATTTATTTCGGTTGAGCTCTCTGGAAGTGTGGGTTTGTAAACAATGACTATTACGGCTAATAATGCAAGGCTCTTCGGTAAATCGAATCGAGTTCTCTCAGTCACTGTGTTTATCTAAAAATAAATACGCTTAAATTCACCTTCTTCCTTGCCATGCGCCAGCGGCTTAGGGGTAAAATCTCCGACTGATGCCAATTCAGCCGGGTTTCGATCCTAGCTAGAGGCAACCGGACGTCTATCCACACTGATGAGCTATGATACAGCGAAACAGTCTGTCTGTGGATGACTATATATATATATATGTTATGCCTTTAAATTCCTTGAGGAACATAGGGTCGCAAGATGTCGCTGCGGTTTCTGTAACAAACCATTTTTTAAGTGAGTAGGTTGTTAGTTTACTGCACAGCTACCAACCTAGAAGATCAGCTTTTGAATTCCGAATTGCCCTTCTCATAGAGCAGTTGCGACACAAGGATATAGAACCCAGTCTGAGAAGAAGAGGATTCATACTTTTCTGTATGACTGGAATTCGAACTCGGCTCTCCGATTCCTCAATCCGAACCGCTATCTATTGCTCCACCATGCCTCCACATTTTTTTTTCTTAATATAAATTATTTTTACGTTTATTTTATGAATGAAGTGGATTATGGGTTAACAATCCTCACCCAGGTTGTTCAGTCGTCTAACCACTGACCTCTCTCTGCGAGAAAATCTTCTGCTTTCTCTTGGCATCGGAGACAAACCATTTCATGTAGAAAGCAAAACAAAAGAATAGAAATTGAACCACTTGCGTCTATTTGTTTGATTCAGGCTGAAGTGACAAAATTAGGGGTCGGTGAAAAGCTGGAGAGGAAAATAGGTTCAAGAGGTGAAAAGAGAGGGAGAAAGTTCAGTAGGATGAAGACTTGACCAATGGAGACCAACACCGAAGCCCCGACAGATTAGTTTGACCAGGCGACACGGCGACCTTCCTTTCGCAAATTTAATCTGGGGGGAAAAAAAAGTAATTTTCACTCCGACCGAATTACGGAAAAGACATGGAAGGAAGAGAATAAGACGCGAGAAATTTGAGAGGGATCGCAGATGATAAAAGAATGAATCTTTGCGTGCACAGATAGATAGATAGATAGATAGATATTGAATAGAGGGTGATATATATTGTATAGAGGGTGATAGATAGATAGATAGATAGATAGATAGATAGATAGATAGATAGATAGGTGATATATATTGTATAGAGGGTGATAGATAGATAGATAGATAGATAGATAGATAGATAGATAGATAGATAGATAGATAGATATTGAATAGAGGGTGATATATATTGTATAGAGGGTGATAGATAGATAGATAGATAGATAGATAGATAGATAGATAGATATTGAATAGAGGGTGATATATATTGCATAGAGGGTGATAGATATTGTATAGATAGATAGATAGATAGATAGATAGATAGATAGATAGATAGATAGATTAGTAATACTGATGCTAATACAGGTAAAAATATATAATTCCACGTCGATTACAACGAATAGGATTTCTGTCATTAAAGTGCTCAATTGATATCGAAAGCAATAATTATGATTCAGAAGTAATTCAAATTCACAGTATTTATTGGAAGATATAATATTTTTTATTAACTATTACAGAAGGATATATTTTATTTTATACAGAAGATATACATTTTGTAAAAAGTAATGAAAAGAGAATATATATTCTGTAATAATTAATACAATTATTCCTGCCTGTGTCCTGACAAGGTAGGGATCACGAGGCTCTGTGTGACCTCCGATAATTTTCAAAATGCAAAGACTTTGAAGTGAAAATCTCAAAAATGTGGCACATTAGGACATCAATAATTCCAGTTGTAGTCGGTGCCCTCAGCTTCATTGGGAAAAGGATCCAATAGAAGTGATTCCTGGTAGCTTATGCCTTAAAGAAATACAAAAAAATTGTACTCACAACTTCAACTCAGACATTACGAAGAGCTCTGTCTATGTAAATGCGTATTTTTTTTTTTTTTGTTTTTTAATGGTTCGGTGGAAAATGTTATGTCGCCATTTCTGACCTTAGGTCTCTGGTTGGCACCCGGAAAGATATGTGTTTCCAACAGAAATCAAAGGAAATAAGCCACTAGTTTGTTTTTTTCTTAACCGAAAATTACACACAAATTTTAAACATAAAACCATTTTATTAAATGACAGTTTTTTGAAGATCTTCAAAGACACATTGCAGTCTGCAGGGACTGCCATGTCAATAAGGAGGCACCTTTTTTTGTTTGTGGTCCCTAATCACAATTTCAGTGTGATTAGCTTTGATTGTTCTGTCTCTGGGTATTATAAAGTCCCAGAAAATTGTTACGGGTCCTATCTCCGTAACCGGGTCTGAGTGGTGTTTATACCAATTTCTTGCAGTTTCCTTTCCGTAAATGTTGCAGATTTTCTAAAGCAGATGCTGGCCCACTCTTACATGCCGTATTTCATATTCAGTGGATGCCAATACCGTGAAACCTGACACAAGATGGTCAATTATTTCTGGATATTTATCACAGAATCTGCATTTCGAGTTAACACAATTTTTCAGTATGTGTGCTTGGTAATTTCTAGTTAGCAAGCATTGGTCCTGTGAAGCCAGAATAAAACGTTCCGTTTCAGCTTTTAACCCTGTACTACGTCGCCACTGATGTATACGGGGTTTCTCTACATCAGCTTGTTTGGTACGGGCAGAGTATTGACCGCGAAGCGGTTTATCTTGCCATTGTTTTTGTATTTGGTCGGTTACTTGAAACTCCATTTTGAAGTTGTTGGTTCCCTTCATTACTGAGCAAAGTTTCTTCTTTCATGTTCTTTGACACAGATCCTCATCCAGTCTTTGTAGTTTCCAGATATCTTTAAAAGCAAATTGTATTTTCCAAGACAGTTCTAGTTGAACTAATCCTCTTCCTTCTTCGGATCTGGGCACATACAGACGATCAAAATCAGCCTTGGGATGATGCATTCGGTGGTAAGTGAGAAGCTTTCTCGTTTTGGCTTCCATTCAGTTAATGATGTTGAACCACAAAGACAGCCAACGTGTTTATGGCTGATTTTGAATTCAGATCGGTATTCAGTACTAGACGCACACGCCTTCCTTTTGGGTGTGCTATATTCCATTTCCTTCGCTAACTCCTTGGTACCTATAAGTTTCTTCTTGTTCTAGCTCCCTAATCTTTATGCAAAATCTAAATCTGTAGAGTGTATTTCTGTAAGTCTCCCTTTCTTGAATGTTACTTTTGCACATTTATCTAATTCAAAATCCACACCTATGTCGTCACTGAAACATTTTACAGTATTGAGGAGACTGTTCAATTCATTGTCCTCTTTGACAAAGAATTTGAGATTATCCATGTAGAGTACGTGATTTAATTATTTCTTGTTTAGTTTGTTCCGTTCCATTGTTTTGTTCCAGTATCTTCTGCCATATTGTAAGCAGATCCATCGTTCCTTACTCAAAAAATTTTCTGTCTTTCGTGGGAAGAAAATCTCCCACTTAAAGTTTTTCACCCTTACGATCTGAAGGTCTTTCTATTCAGTGAATTTTAAAGAGACCGAAACAGGTAAAAATCTGAAGGGGCAAGGTTACGAGAATATGGTGGATGCGGTAGAAATCGCCAGTTAAAACACTTTAAATTCTGTCGTGTCTAGAATATCGCTATGATAATAATTTGTTCAGCTGTGATTTGATGGTCTTTTCTCCGCGGGAAGAACGTCGTAAAAGTCGACAGTTATCCAATTCCCGCTAAAAATGAAGGCATAACCTTCATCGAGTGAACTCCTGATTTGGAAGTTTACCGCGCTTCCCAAATGATTGCCTTGTCTCCTATTACCGTTCTCTTCAATTAAGAATCGAAAATGGAAATCCGTTAGGCGATGTCAGCCTCATTCAACTGATGTGGGGCCCAAAACATCGAGACTGCTGACGTAACCAAGTTAATACCAGTGGTTTTCAACACTCGACTCCGATGTTTAGAGAATATCTGCCATCATCCTTGTCATATAACGGGAATTGATGGCGACTTCGTTTTGTCGTTGTTAATCTCAGGTGACCGACCAGAGAACGATACCTCAGGAGTTCTAATTACCTAGTAGGGACAACTTTGGTTGCAAAGTCGAAGTCGAGAACCCAGACTAAGCGCGATCAACCCCAAAAACTCCAAGGTTGGAACAAGCCGATGATGATTACAACAGGTTTCAACAGTTGAACCAGTGGCTGAAGAGGGCTACGCATTACGGACATGCTACAGAAGGCGCCACTTGAAATTAAGTCAGCTGCAGTCCGTTGCAGTTTCATAACTGGATTCTGCATATCTCATTCCATATGAGCCGTAGAGGATAATCATGAAATCACGTGTGTGGGTCACTTCCTGGTAAGTTAAGGCCCACCTTAAATAAATTCACGCCATCGGCACTTTGTTCTACTCTGATTTTCGTTGAACTTCACTCAACATTTAGCTAAGGAATGGTTGACGGGAGCAGGTTTTGGTGATGTTGATTGGTGATGTTGCATATTTCCTACGGGTAACTGTGCTCAGGGTTCGAGCATAGATGTCATGATTTTAATTCAGATTTTCTAAAAAGGTAAAGGCCTCTGATCGAGAGTTTTTGGGGAGCGTGAAACTACCTCTTAATTGCTTTTGTTCCCAGGTCCACCTTGATCCGGTCTCAGCTATGGGCAAATAGTCAATAACCCAAACTGAGGATAAAACACTATGAAAGTATAATTAGAAATTTTTATTATAGAAATACCGGCAAAATATTTTAATAGTAAAAATATGTTGCCAGCAGATACATTAGAAAAATATTACCAGCAATACTTTTTTGAAAAAAAATTGCCAGCAATACACCTTTGTAAAAAAAAAAAAATTACTAACGCTCCCCCCCCCAAATTAAATTTCGGCGTTAAATGACCAATAAGGAACGGATATGGCGCTTTGCAAAATACAAACCTTATATGTCAGTTCGTTTCATTAGAATAACGACGCATTGATTTGGCAAATACAACTCAAAGTTTTTTTAATATGAAGTTCTATTTCTTGTCTCAAAAATGCTCAAAATTAAAATAATTTTATTTGTACCTATCTATTTTTTTTATTATTTATTCACAAGGTAGCATTGTATATTCTTGTAGAAAGTCCTGTCTAATCATTTGTGGAACCTAAAAAAGAATATCCCCTAAATCGTACCACATCCACCACATACCATTTATTTCACCCATCCAAATAAACAAATACATAAAAAATAAAAACGAGCAAATACACACATACATAGACACACACACGCATATATATATATATATGTAACTATTATCAGATGGAGTGTATGAATAAAAAGAGACAAAAAGAAAAAGGTCGGTTAAGTATAATTTTTCCTCTTGTCTCTTTTTATTCATATATATACATACGTTAAAACCAACGGCAGAGTATATTACCATTATATATATGTGCGTGTGTGTTTGTGTATATATATATATATATATATATATATATATATATATATATATATATATATATATATATGTATGTATGTATGTATGTATATATATATATGTATATGTATGTATATTAAAATAACGGAAAATCGCAAAAAATCTTTTGTAATCGCATAGAAAGAATAAGAGAAAAGAATTCGTTGCAATAAGTGATAACCTTTGGTCCGATCGCTGACGTTCTGTCTAAAGAGGCAGGTGGCCAAAAAGAGGATCTATCTGACAGACAGTCTCAGCTTCATTTTTTCCTTTTTTGTTTTTTTCCTTTTACTCCCACTCTCCGCTGCATGTGATATACGCCCGAGTCCCAAAGTTCACTTTCTTCGATCAATTCCATGAATAAAACTGAAAGAAAAAAAAACAAAGTTAAAGGCAAAGAGAAAACAGATATCAAAACGGAATCATCTTGCTACACGAAATAAATAAAGGCCTAAATTCCATAGTACCTTTAAGGCCGTAGCCTTGATAATAAACTCTAGCTTTGCTTCAGCAAGTTAAGCTTTACTTATTCGGCATCCGGAATCAAATATTTGTTACTTTTACTGCCAGGAAGAATTTAATAAAGAAAAAGAAATGGACTTTCAGGCAACGATCGTAGTGATGACGACATTTTGAAGGGAGAAAAAATCTATGCTATTCTCTATATTGACGTCTGCTTCATTCATTTTTTTTTTTTTTTTGCCTGCTTCGTCAGTCCGATCGTTAAGCACAAAAAAAAATAGCTGACCGAAAGACCAGTTGTATTAAAGGAAAATACAAAATAAATATATAAATGAATAAAATGAAAATGGGAACAGTTTTGAAAACAAAGGTAGGTTTGTCATGCAAGCTCTCAAACTCTATGAAGAGATACTGTTAAGTCGCATCTTTTGGTAAAGATTTCATTCCAAGAAGAAGTTTTATTCCAACGGAACTTTAACATTGACACGTGTTTCTTTTTCGCATTCTCTGTTCCTTTTTATTAAAGAGATCTATCAAGTTTATTTTAGTGTTTAGTTTTTTCATGGTATGTAAAGAAACATGTAAATAAAAAAAATCACTGAATTTTGTCAAAGTATTTTTTAAAAAATGTGAAAAGTTGTAAGAATCCTTCTACTCGGTTTTTCGTTGAATGTTAAAATTTGGAGTGTCGGGATTCGATACATTAACAAAATATCGTTAAAGGGGCGCTCGTAATTTGGCCGTCTAGAATAATCACACGATTTTCATTGAAGGAATAAAATTCAGTAGAAAGACAACGTAGTTTCAACAAATAAACATTAATTTAATATAACGATAAGAATACAAGCAGTTGACGATAGGTTGGAAAGTAATGTCTTTTTGTTTAGGTTGATAAAGTTCTGAAATAAAATATAAACTCTCTTTGTCTACGTGTGTGAGAAACAATAAAATGTTGTGATATGTGTGTATGTATGAAAAAGTCAACATGTGTGTACGTGATTCATAATAAAAGCGGATACAAGAGATCGTTACAACTTGTTTCTTACTGTTGGCGGTGTTGCCGTAGTCTGAAGTTTGTCAACACTGTCGCTTTTAACATGAGGTCGTGAAGATCATAAGGGAGAGTTGTGTGGAGTTTAGTGACAGCCGCGTGTATCCCTGTTTGGGAACGGATTTCGTATGTTTTTATACATTTTTTCCGAACAAAATCGGCTCCAGAATTAAATTATTTATTTATTCCTAATTGTCCCTTAAAGGACACGTGGTATGTCTTCTACTACGTCCGCACGATATTTGGTCGGTATCTACCTAAAAATAATGATGACTAATACAACAAATATTCTGATTTGTAATCTATGATTTTATTGGTGTGTTTTAAGATGTAAGTGTTTTCTTGAGTGTGATTGGTTTATAAATATTGTATTTGATATTTTAGTGGACACGTGAAAGTAAAAGTGAAAAATAAGGATTACAGGAAGAATCTCCAAACATCTTCAGGTTTGGTTAGTTTTGTTTTACGGAATATCAACATCTCAATAGGTTATTTAATGCCGAAAATTTTTTTATTGCTGGTAATATGTTTTCCAAAGATTTATTGCTAGTAAAAATGTATTTCTAGTAATAATATTTTCTTCAAAAATTTAATGCTGGTAATCATTTTGTACAAAAATGTATTGTTGTTATTAAAACCTATTTTTACGCTTTCATAGTGTTTTGACCCCAGTTTGGGGGTTAACTATTTGCCCATAGCTGGAACCCTAACAGCTGCTACCACCGCGGGTCAAGGTGGATGTGGGAAGAACATCTATTAAGAAGGGGTGCCACGCTCCTCAAAACTTTCTAATCCGAGGCCTGACTGCCGGGTGTAGTTTATCGTCATACCCAAGAAATATCTTATTAGGTACATTCCGAGTGTGAAAAATAAAATGTATGCAGTTTAATGGACATCATTATATATATATATATATATATATATATATATATATATAATGATGTACATTAAACTGCACACATTTGTTTATATATATATATATATATATGTGCTGGACTCTCCTGTCATTTATCGACGTATGGGGGTCATGCAATTCAGTTACTAGGAACCGACAGCCAGACACCAACACATATGATTTAATTATGGTGATGAAGGCTTCCTGCAGAACCAACCACAATTTTTGAAGAGCCGTGCCACAAGGTTCCGAAACGACCCTACGCAGGTTCTGAATTCAAAGTTGTCCTTCTTCTAGATCAGTTGCCATCCATAGTGTGTCCTGCTATTTACCCATAGCTGGAGTGGGAAAGAAAAGGATTCATACCCAAGGGTATTAACATGTGAGTGAATGCAATGGATCCAACTGGAATTTGAACTCGGCTCTTCGACTCTTCAATGGGCGCTGCTATCCACTACTCCACCGTGCCTAAATATTTTATATGACGTCAGTGTCTCTGTCAACGTTTGACTTGTAGTTATCGATCAAATTTTGATCTGGGATTTCGACTGTATAATGTTTAGGCTTTGTTATTAATATTCAACATTGAATTAACTACATTAACAAGGACGGATATCATATTGATAATAAATATGAAATGTGCAAAATTGATGCATTTTTCATTTACGGGGGATTTTTGATTAACCTCAGTTAACAAGACTGAACAGATTAAAACGTACATACCGTAATTCCCCATGTATAATACACCTTCATCCATAATACACACCCCTAAAATTGTGTATAATGCGCACCCCTTGTTTGGTAATCAAACCCTATAAATTGTACCTCTCCAATTTTATTACGGCCATTTCCTGCTCTCATTCAAGCCGTAATTGAAGATATTTCTCAAATTTTCCAATCATCACGATTCTAAAAGGAAACGGAAATGCCTATATTGTGCCTACTGCGCAGACTCATTAACCTGTTTTGTTTTGTTTTTTCGATAAAATGTGCAATCTACCGGATCTGTATGTGGTTTTTTCCCCAAAATGGATTTAAACATAGAATAATATTATTCTAATTTAGTTTTATGATAATTCTTAGTTTATTTTAAATTTGTAAGGCTTGTTACATATGATTGTATTTGACATCCTTTTGGGGTCGAAATCGCCGAATTGTGTCCCTGTGTCAAATTGTCGTATGTTTGTGGTGAGTACTCATTTCACAATTGAAATCAACCTGTGAAACGGCAATTTTTTAAAGATGTTTTTGTAGCTGTGCATAATACGCACCCCTAATTTTGCTTATTATTTTTTTAGAAAAAAAATGTGTATTATACATGGTATCTAATATCTGCCACAATAGAAAACGCTAAGTGATTTTTAAGCTTGCAAAGTTTGTAAATTTTTGTCGTGCTCGTGTTATATTACTTACACTTACGATATTGGGTGACATTGTTTTGTTTTGTTTTTTATGAAAAGGAAATATTGATGGCTAGATTTTACGATCACGTTGGAACACCAGTTCCTGTACGATCACCGAAGTTAAGCAACGTCAATCCTGGTTAATATGTAGATAGGTAGCCACTAGGGAATACAAGGTGCTTTAATCTTGGGGTTGCGGATGGTGTAATGGATAAAGGTTCAGAATTGGAAATCAAAAACCGAGTTTAAATCCCAGTTAAGTTTGTTATATTCACTTACGCGCAAAAGCCCTTGGCAAGGGCATGACTTCACCTTTTCTGTCCCCAGCTATGGCTTAATTAGTAAGACGTATCAATAAATTGTTATCTCAAAAAACATTCTTCCAATCTAAAAATATTTTCTGGCTTTAAATAACCTGCAAAAGGCTGATAGACCGTAGAAAGCAAATAAATCAATCAATCAATCCAAGATGGCTACGAAAGACTAGATAATTGAAACATCTAAAAAAGAGAGTACAATAATGATAATTGGTATAAAAAAATAATTATAATGACATATTTTAGGTACGAACAAATTGATGGAATTTGACTCGTGATCGACTAAGACCACCGCCAGGATTTATGACTTCCAAAAGAACATTTCAGGGATCATTTTTCAAGAGGTTCGTGTGAGTGAATTTCTTTTCCGTGGATAGAAGGTTGCACAGATGCTGATGATATAATAAAGTGTGCTTGATGGATGTTTACAGGAGGCAAAATGTTTATCAGGACTCCCTATAAGAATCGCTAAGAATCGCTTACATAATACATTATGTTCTTTCTAGTTAAAATGGCATCAATTCACAGTTAAATTGGCTTAAGTTCTACGCTAACAGTTTATTTTCCCGCTCTTTTCAGTAGTAGAACTTCCGCTCCTCCGGACCCATGATTTCCAACCAATTTTTACTTACAATTCTCAACCTTCAAAGTCGATTTCATACTACTACTACTATTACTACTACTACTAATAATAATAATAATAATTATTATTATTATAGAAGAAGAAGAAGAAGAAGAAGAAGAAGAAGAAAATGTCTCATGTTTGATGCGGCTATTCCGGGTGATCCTAAAGATCAAAGAAAGGGACAAGCTTACAACTTACCTCCGGTTTGAAGTTGGTAGAACGTAGGACATTCAGTGAAAATCACGATAGTAATCCTGACTCTACAAAGACTCATGTTTTCTTTATTTTTTTTTAAATTATCAGGATTTCTTGAAAATGATAGTTTGAGTGCTTTTTTGCTATTTTCTCTAGGTTTTGAATTCATAATAATCATTCTCGTAAACTGGCTGCCATTCAGGACTAGAGAGATCAGCTTACCCTAATATTTAACCCATAGATGGGGGTTGGATAGATGATTTCATGTCTTTTGTGAAAGTGAACGGAACAGACTCGGTTCACCGATTCCACTTTCAATACTGCAACCATTACATCCAGCCTCATAGATTTATCTGGCGAGAAAAGACTTTGACTTAAAAAATTTACTGCTTGAAAGGTTGTAATATTGTATTACACCAACTTTTAAGATACGGACATCGGACACATTTTCACAATCCTCATTCGAACCTTGACTGCAGGCGACGAACAACCATATCAATCACTGAGCTGACATGTAGATAGATAGGGATAGAATGAGATAGATCCGAATGGATGTCTGAGAGAGAGGAATCATAATAATAAGTACATGGATTGGATAAGATGAATGTGAAGATAGATAGATAGATAGATAGATAGATAGATAGATAGATAGATAGATAGATAGATGAGGACCGAGATAGATAGATAGATAGATAGATAGATAGATAGATAGATAGATAGATAGATGAGGACCGAGATAGATAGATAGATAGATAGATAGATAGATAGATAGATAGATAGATAGATAGATAGATAGATAGATATGTATATATGTATGCATGTCGATGATTAAAAAAATAAGTAAAAACGTTGTATTTGCAGGAAAACCATGTTGAGAAACTCCTTCAGACAGTAGGAAAAGCAGTCAAAGGAATGAAGCTATTTTAAAAGCGAAAACAAAGCGGCAAGAAGACAAAAAAACACCTGACATCACCTGGAAGGAGGGGAAAAATAAAGATTGATATGAAAGAAGAAACAGGCTCTTTTTTTCTGATTTCCTTCACTTGATTTTCCACACCACCAAAAAAAAAAAATATGATTAAAAAAAAAAAATAAAATAAAAAAACACGCAACTCTGTTAACAAACGCGTCGGTCCCAAAATCCTTTCAGTTTATGTCTGTGTATGCGAACGATCTTGGCATATACATGCGCAATTGTAACCACGGGATGATAAAGCATTTTTTAATTTTTTTTTTTTTCCTTAATCAAAAAAAAAAACCATTCTGTATTAGAGATGTCAGTGTGTGGGATGAAAATCTGACACTCAGAACACAAATGGACGCTGTCCGTCTTTCATCTCTGACGGTTCAACTGGAATATAACGTCTGCCCGAGCAGGAGTCTTGTAAAAATCTGTCAACCAGTTTTAATGAAATGGCGATCTTGCCCATTACAAATACAAATGTTTTTTTTCCTTTTTTTGTTGTTGTTTTTTTTGTTTGTTTGCTTGTTTTTTGTTTGCTTGTTTTTTGTTTGTTTATTTATTTTGCGATAGGTGAAGTACGATTTTCGATTAATAAAAAAAATATAAGTAAAAAAACATTTTCTCTTTGCTTACTTTTATTTCAAATGCGATAGAAGTTGCGTGCAAAGGAACGGCTCCTATCGCGTAAACCCTGGAAGATTTTAAGCCTCTCTATATCTCCAATATTGACTTCTTGTCCAAATTTTTCTAACCTCCTGTTCTTCCCTGACCAATAAAGCAACCTTCAGCATGATCCTATTAACATGATAACCATTTCAAAATTCCAGGTGTGTCAAGTAAGAAATAAAAAACAAAAATCTTTAGCCTCAAGTAAATTAAAGTTTGAAAAAAATCTTGTTTCCCTGTTACATGACATAGCATAAAACGGGATTGACACAATCCTCCCCACCACTGTTTATGAAGCCAAGATAACAAAACTGATTAGGACCTCACTCGACAGATTGATATTAAGAAGACTCGTGTATGTCAAACTACCAAGTAAAATACTGTTTCGCCGTCCTGGGTAAGACGATAAACTACATCCAACAGCAAGGCCTCTGATCAGGAGTGCACACTGACCTGGGGTGGTAGCACCTGTTAGGCTCCCAGCTATGAGCAAATAGTTAACCACTAAACTGTGGTCAAAACACGATGAAAGTGTAAAAATAGGTTTTAATACCAGCAATGCATTTTTGCAAAAAATTATTACTATAATAATTTTTTTGAAAAAAATATTACCAGCAATAAATGTTTTAAAAAAATATTACCAGCAATATATTTTTGAAAAAATTATTACCCGCAATATATTTTTGAAAAAAATATTACCAGCAATATATTTTTGAAAAAATTATTACCAGCAATATATTTTGAAAAAAAAAAATATTACCTGCAATATATTTTTGAAAAAAAACCTGCAATATACCAACCAATATATTTTTGAAAAAAAAATTACCAGCAATATATTTTTGAAAAAATATTACCAGCAATATATTTTTTAAAAAAGCAATAAAAAACTTGTCGGTATTAAATAACCTAGTGAGGTTGATATGCCGTAAAACAAATCAAACTTAACCAAACCAAATCAGTGTCTTTGATTTCTGGTAATCCTTTGGGTCCTAGTGGCATTATCGACTTGGGGTGACATGGTTAAAAGAAATATATTTTTGGAAAAAAAACAAAAAAAAAATATGACCAGCAATACATTTATGAAAAAAAAATATTATCAACAATACATTTTTGGAAAAAATATTAGGAGCAATAAAAATCTTGTCGGCATTAAATAAAACCTATTGAGGTTGATATGCCGTAACACAAACTAAACCAAAGCAAACCTTAAGAGTCGATTTAATACTACTACTAATATTACGACTACTATTACTACTACTACTACTAATAATAATAACAATAGAAGAAGAAGAAAATGTCTCCTGTTTGATGAGGCTATTCCGGATGATCCTCAAGATCAAAGAAAGTGACAAGCTTACAACTTATCTCCGGTTGAAGTTGGTAGAACGTAGGACATTCAGGTCACAATAGTCACAATACTGTCACAATTACTATTAGGATGTTGGCTTCTATACCAACGAACTTAAAAACCTACGTCGAGGAAATCGGAATAAAGCCTAGTTTGTTATCGCTTCAGAAGTCCGCGTTGCTTGGCATCGCAAATATTCTGCGAAAGTTGCTCTTAGTCTGAGGTCGTACAACCTGCTGGAGGACACCTATAATGGAATAACTCCGGTTGAAAACGAAAAAACATCGTGAAGAAGAAACTAATAATAATAATAATAGATGTATTTAAATGTTCACAATGATCTCGTTTTGACAACGACATTCTGAATCCTCTGCCACCTCCTCTTCTTCCCTAATGTCATTATACTCCCTTGGGTGTATAGAGTCACACCTTCACTACGGGTTGATGTGAGTGGGGGTGAGGTTTGAAAGGTTCTATTCAATTACGTGCAAATATCTTGACAAAAATTATGAACATATCATCCCCACAGTTATGGGTTAAATAGTAGAGATTTTATCTGGAAAAATCATTGTTATTCTCAAAATTTGTTAATGAAATATTCACTCACATAGAAATAAAAAAAGAATTATTCTAATAATCCGAAATATATTTCGTCTTTAAATAACTTACAAAGGGTTGATAAGCCATAAAAAATAAATCAATAAAATAAAGCCTTTACCACAGTAGATTTTGTCGTTATCGTTTATCGTAGTAGTTAAGTTACGTGTTGGCTTTGCCAGCTTCACGTACAACTCGTTTTGAATTTAGAGTTGTGCTTCTCTAGACTGGTTGACAACCAAGGCTAATGAAGCTCAGTCTGCTCTGGTATTTAACCCATAGCTGGGTACACACTAAATATACAAACAATTTTTTTAATATTATTCAAATACTGGAAACTTCCGCAGCACCAAAAATGATTTTTACTTTAGCCACAGTGACATGAATGCACTTGTAAAACACTTGTACAGCATATATCTAGAATATAAACTAAAATTCAATCTTTTCAAGATCATGGTATCTCCTTCGTTACCTGAAGTGGCAGCTTGCTAACCGACTGGCGTTAGTGGTGAGATCTTTAGCCCAGCTAAAAGCTAGGTTTTCTAATCTTGAATTTCTAAACAGGCAGTTTAATACTTATGTCGGGTCCACTAAAATATCAAATACAATATTTATAAACCAATCACACTCAAGAAAACACTTACATCTTAAAACCCACCAATAAAATCATAGAATACTAATCAGAAAGTTTGTTGTATTAGTCATTATTATTTTTAGGTAGATACCGACCAAATATCGTGCGGACGTAGTAGAAGACATACCTACGTGTCCTTTTAGGGACAATTAGGAATAAATAAATAATTTAATTCTGGAGCCGATTTTGTTCGGAAAAAGTGTATAAAAACATACGAAATCCGTTCCCAAACAGGGATACACGCGGCTGTCACTAAACTCCACACAACTATCCCTTATGATCTTCACGACCTCATGCTAAAAGCGAAAGCGTTGACAAACTTCAGACTACGGCAACACCGCCAACAGTAAGAAACAATTTCTAACGATCCCTTGTATTCGCTTTACTATGAATCATGCACACACGTGTTGACTTTTTCATACATACACACATATCACAACATTTTATTGTTTCTCACACACGTAGACAAGGAGAGTTTATATTTTATTTCAGAACTTTATTAACCCAAACAAAAAGACATTATTTTCCAATCTATTATCAACTGTTTGTATTCTTATCGTTATATTAAATTAATATTTGTTTGTTGAAACTACGTTGTCTTTTCTACTGAATTTTATTCCTTCAATGAAAGTCGTGTAATTATTTTAGACGGTCAAATTACGAGCGACCCTTTAACGATATTTTGTTAATGTATCGAATCCCGACACTCCAAATTTTAACATTTAACGAAAAACCGAGTAGAAGGATTCCTACACTTAGGTAACTGGCGCATGAGAATCTTCCAGAGATCAGTCTTTTCTGACTCTGTTCTACGCTTTTCAAATGTGAGTATTATTGTGATCATATTACGATAATTATTACGATTTGATGTTCCCATACAAGCGAACGGATGACTTTTCACATGTTCTTTTTAAGGGAGACGAAGTGAGTGAGAAATGTGTGACGAGAGAGGGCAAAAATAAAAGAGACGAAAACAAAAGAAAGAAAAGAAATGAAATAAGAAATTATATTTCTTTTTTTTTTAATTAGTCTATGTGTGTGTGATTTTTTTCAACTTATTTTTGTTCCCGCTAATATCGAAACACGTCTATAATGTTGGCGGAAAGGCGGGAAAAGAACATGTCCTTTTTATTTATTGTCATTTTTCCAAGTAGAAAATGAAAGAGAAAGTAACCGGAAATCGGCTAAATGCCAACAGAATCATCGGTGCTATAATCATTGGTATCAATCAATGTTCTCGGGCGATTTCCTCTGAGGCTTTACGCTCATATACTGATATTTTGGAGTGTGTATTTATAACCATCTGAGCTCTCCATAGCGGAAACTTTATTATGGTTTCGCCTTTCATTTTCCTTTGATATTTACTAAGCTTAGCTTAATACTATGCAAGGCAAAATAAGAAGGAATAGGAATAGGAAGATTGTGTTCCGTCAATCTTAAAAGCTTTCTAAAATAAAAGTTCGCTCCCCTGACTTTTAATTTAAGTCCAATATTAACTGCTGATGTAAAAGTCATTCATTAATATTTACTAAATTTTGCTTATTCTGGTAGCAGAACAGTTGTATAAAATGAGAGTAAGATGATTGTATAGAGCCATGTTTTTAAGTAGGG